ACTAGCTAAATACCTGACTATAGCTAAACACAAATCTCATTTATCAAGATCAATTCCTAATAGTACTATGCTCAACCTATATCTTTACAATATTCGTAATATCTGAGATATACAACTTCAGTATCATATTTTCAACTTTCACCAATGCATTAACAACCCTCACTTATTAGGAATTACTACACGTATAAGACTTTAACAATTACAAAACAATATTTGGTCAACTACAAATATACTTGAACATCCTCAACCTATAGTTGATGGTGCCAATAGATACACACTAAACTTTAAGATTATTCAGTTACTTTCACCACTTGAAATTCACATTACAGCAAATTCTGATGCTTTATGGCCTAATACTATTTCACATGACTTACAACCATTAGAAAAAATTCTTAAAAATCATCTAACTACACAACCTTCAAAAAACAGCTTAGAAATTTGCAAATACTTTATTTAGAACAACTTTGTATATCAGACAATATCTGTCTTTTAGAATGGTAACATCTCTCACCTAGATTACAGTTTTTACCCAAGGGTAAAAAGCCTTTATAGTTTACTGTACTTGAAGATAAAGTTATTGAAGATAAATTCTATTAAACTCTGCTTACACAATACCAACAACAGGAAACTAATCTCTTCACTTACAACATATATAACATTCTAAAAAGATTTAAACTATGGCTAATTACCTTTAATAACAATAAAATTATTCTAGGCAAAATTCGTACATTTACATCTAAGTCTCAATATTCAATTACATATTGGCAAACTGATATTGATACAAACAATATCAACTGTTACCCACTATCACCAATTAACTATCATCCTTATACTTGATATCATCTTAATTCTAATCAACTAGCATCAGCATGCATAATTAATATATCTAAAATTACTTCTGCTCAGTTTTTTAGCAGACTTTTTAATAATAATCTTAAATTAAACTTTAATTATATGGATCTTATCTTCTCTACCTGCATCAAATTCCCACTTCCAGAGCTTCAACTACCACTCTTACCTTCCATCCTTATTAGTAACTCTACTATATTTGCAATTTTTAAACCAAATAAAAAGATGGCCAAATTAGCCCTGTAAAAAAAATCAAATCAAATTTTTCTATAATTTCTCTGTGTATAAATTTCATATTATTTCCATCTAAATTACTAAGTAACAACATCTATATTTCTTCCATAAATGTAGCATATTTACGGAATTTTCATGGAGTAATTTTAAAAAACTAATGGAAATTATATTAAAGTTTTACTGAACCAATGCGATAATTAAATAAAAATTATATTAATTATGGAAATTAGTTGAAGATTTCGTTAAAATTTATGTAATAATTTACTGAATTATCCAATAGCGAAAAGTAAATAATATGGAATAAATACAGAAACTTATGAAAATCCAAATAGGCCACATATAGAACTTTTTTATAATTATTATGGAATAAACATGAGAACATTACTGAACTACTATCGCTATTGCTGTAGTAAGTATAAATAATATAATGGAACTTTATATTATAATCATGGAATAAATCTGGAAATATTACTGAGCTTAAATAGATAAAAAGCTAGAGCTTTAATATATATTTTATTTATAAATAAAAATCTGATATTTATTTATATGACTATACACATGTGTATAGAGTACATGCACCTTTTTGATTATGCCAAATTTTAGTTTTTGACTTTTGTTTTATGTGCGGTTTTTTTTATCTCCTGCTCTCTTTTTCGCTTTCAGCCTATATAAATAATAAATGAAATTAATAAATAAATTAAATAGATATATTTAAAGCATGGTAAATTAAACTTAATCCAGTCCATAATTTGAATTAATACCACTAAATATTCTTTCACATAAATATAGCTAAAAATCATTTGAATTACCAGAATCTTGTGCACTGTGTTCAACCATTTTAGATATGTTTTCGATATTATTAGATTTTCGAACGGAGGAACGAAGACAATTTTTTAATAATGAAGAAACATTATCCTTTGGAACTATAGCGCTTTGCTTTATATTTATATTTTAATAGAAGGGCAGATATTTTTTAGTACGTAGTATTGCATAGTTCCAAGTCAAAAGTTTTATATATTACCATCGTTGTCAAGATTTATAGCCTGATGGTGGTGATCGATAACTTTAATATTTGTACTACATGCTTGCATGGGCCGATTTTCTTTTTTTTGGCATCTTTTTTACAAGAGCTGTGTTATCTTGACTGAAGGTAAGATCAGTGGTTGTTGTGTTATCTTGATTGGGATCAGTAGTTATTAAGTTATCAGATTCAGGTGCATTCTCATCTGTGTCATCTTGATCAAAGGTCACAAAATAATTTTTAGATTCTAATCTTATACGTATCAGCTTTGTATACCATTTTGGATATCTCTATTAATACGTAACATATCCACCCAAATAATAAATATCAATTAACAAGTATTTAAGAGTATGTCCTTGATAGGGGTATCCGAAATTGGTATATATACAAAACCGATACGTATTATCTTTTTACCTTAATATTATAAATAAATAAATATATATATATATATATATATATATATTAAATGAAATAATAACTAACATAAATCTATCAGTAGTGTTATGTATGAGTCGCACAAAATGAGTGATGCACCATGTAAATCCAGGGAATTGAGTCACACGGAAGCCCACTTGGCAAGTCCCGAGTAGAGAGGTAGCATGGATTTTTGACAGTACTACGTAAAGGATCGTTATCAGCAATCAGACACCAATAGCAAACTGGACAAGGACTGGGTGTTTAGCAAACACTAATACCAACCAGGCTGCATGTAATATGAGAAAAAAGGATTCAATCAGAATACCAGGGATGCCTACTAGTCCCCTCCGGGCCATCTGGATTGGGAGTTTGGGGCGCAGTTGGTGATCAGGAACGGCGGTGATTGTCTGTAAAGTGTGTGCTGGGGTCTGAGTGAACTCTACAAGGGCAGAAGTAGGTAATGGTAGCGGCTTTGGCTCGCAAGTACTTGTTCTTAGACTCAGCATAAGTTACCGAAAGACTAGGTTAGCCGGATTGTGGGTAAGAAAAGCTCTAGCTAACGATGCCTCGAGGATAAAAATGTTCTAAGGGTATAGGGAAAGCATCTGGGACTTCTTACGACAGATATTGTGGTGGGGAGATACTGGTGAACAAGCTGAGTTGTATTTGTATAAATGTACAGGGTTCCATAAGCGAGCCCCCCATCTATAAACTTGAATAAAAACCTTAGTCCCAAAGAGGCTAGTTATAAAACTTAAAAAAAAAAAAAAAAATATAAATTTATTATTACTATTGTCGCTATTAATACTTTCAACATTGTTGTAAAAAGAATCTTGTGCATTATCATATGTCTTATCTGTATCACTATGACTAGGCGTTCTTTCAACATCCACATAATTTATATTTCGCTTTCTGTTAGGAGGTTGTATGTTCTTTTTTTTGGTGGTAGTGCATACCCTTTCATTTTTGCTTCAGTAACTCTCTTTTTTTTCTCTTGATCAACTATTACAAATAAAAAAATCAAATGCAACCAATATTTTATTCAAAACTATAATAAATTACGTATCCATGCTATTACAATATGAGGTAAGCCAATTACGAAGAACAAAGTCAGCTTCAGAGGATGGAAATGTTGAATTCACTTCATTAAACTATAATATATAATTAAAATATAAACTTTCTTTGCCTTTATAAATATTAAAAAATTTAAACCTTACTTCTTTTATAACTTCTTCAGCCTTTTCTTTAGTTGGCGAGATAATGATATACCATATAAGAACTGAGAAGCTGCACGATTTCACAAATTGTTCTATAATAATAATAATAATAATAATAATAAAATAATATAAAAAATCAAATACGTAGTAACAATAATAACTTTAAAAGTTTACCCTAAAGTTCAAATATTGCTTTTTATCAAGTTTTAAAAACTCATGCCACTGAACATCCTTTTTATTTTTTTTTTGGGCTTCTTTGTAACATTCATATTCATTAAGTTTAATTGGATTTTTGTAAACCCTTTTGGAAACTATAAAAATTTATGTATTAACTAGTACAAAAAAAAATACACAAAAAAAAAATAAAATAAAATAAAAAATAGTAAATAACCTGTTCATTAATTACACCACGTAGAGCACTACATGCATTTAGAAGTAAATCTGCAAGAGAAGGTTCAATTGCAATTAATACAGAATATAATCAATGACGTTGCTCATGGTTTAGTGAATTAGGTAAAGTTGGATCTTTGTCAAATAGTTCAAGAAAGAACTGACGACACTGCTCAGTACTGAAAATATAAATATTTATTGAAAAGTTGTTTTGTGGCATTTTTATAACAGGATCCAATTATAAATAGTAACTTATACACTTTTTTAATATTCGCAAAAGAAAATAGAAAATGTAAGAAAAAGAAAACAATAGGTAAATTTTATTTATACTTAATCATTAATATATCAGTTTTAAATATTATTGATTTTTTTGTGATCAAAGTGTATAATTATTTGAATAAATAGCAATATACAATATAAGAAATAACTTTTTCTTTTTTTATTATAATAAAATTATTTCTTATATAAATGGATAAAGTTCTTTGTACATGTGTTTGGTGTCTTCGAGAATCAGATAATCATGGCAAATTAGTTAGTAGATCAACCCGAGCAAGACATTCATTAAAACAAAAAACAACTTGGCCTAATTCAACACATATATCTGCTCAACAACGACATCTAATCACTTCTATTTCTTCAGCAGTTGGATCAATATCATTACCCACCACCCCAGTAATATCATTATCATGTAATAGTCAAGAGCCAGATGACTTAGAATACCACGAAACTATAGAAAAAGAAGAGACTTTTAGTAATAATAGTAAATATGATGAGGAAGATTACAAAGATTATAATAAAAAAGATTATGAAAATTATAATGAGGAGTATAATGAAGAGTATAATGAAGAGTATAATGAGGAGTATAATGAGGAGTATAATGAGAAGTATAATGAGAAGTATAATGAGGAGTATAATGAGGCATGCAATGAGGAAGATAATAGAGAAGCTAGTGAAGAAGGTAGTGAGGATAATAATAAGAAAGGTAATGAGAACAATAATAAGGAATTTGATAGTGAATATATAAATTTTGGTAAGCTTATTATTAAAAAATATAACTTTACTTTAATACTACTCATATAAATCTAAAAATTATTTTAGAAAATTTATTTAAAGGCCTACAACTTTTTTGAATTAAAAATGATTATAATATTTCAGAGGCAGCATTTAATGAAATTCTTAGAACTTTAGAGATTTCTGGAGTTACACTTTATAGACTTCAAAAGCTTCTTGGAAATCTTGTACCCTTTAAACCAAAACTAGTAGATTGCTGTATTAATTCATGTATAGCATTTACTGGTAAGCTTACTAATAAAAATCATTGTCCGAAATGTAATGAGCCTCGTTATAAGCTTAACAAAGGATCTAGAATGCCTAGAAAAAGTGCTGCCTACTGGTCAATTATAAGTTCACTTCAAAAACAATATAAAGACAAAATTCGAGCTAAAGCTCTTCATTATTGAGATACATATACTTCAACACAAGAGTATATAGTTGGTGACCAAATAGGTGATATTTTTGATGGTCTTTAATATAAATCCTTAGTTTTTTCTGGACTTTTTTCAGACTATCGAGATATTGCACTAATGGCATCTACTGATGGATATCAGATCTTTCGCCAAAAAAGAGATGACTGCTAGGTTATTCTTTTTATAAATGCAAATTTACCACCTGAAATACGTGTTCAACGTGAAAACTTAATGATTTCTGCACTTATCTCAGGGCCAAAAGCACCCAAAAATTTTAATTCTTTTTTGAGACCACTAGTAGATAAACTAAAACAATTACAAGATTATTAGTATACATCTTATAGTTTATTATTAATATAAATATAAAAATAAAAAAAATTTATTAAATAAAATTTGGGATCACTTGTAGTATAGATGACCTCTTCTGGCAATATTTTTAAAAATTTGCCAGAAAGAGTCATCTATACTACAAGTAATCACAAATTTTATTTAATAAACTTTTTTTATTGTTAATAGTAGTCTATTATTTAAAAATAATAATAATACGGTAGTTTACTTATCAAGCTTTCTTTATAATAAATTTAGAAGGTGTTCAGTATATTCATGGTTTAATAGAAAAAACTTTTACTCTTCACGCACATATTTTGAGTTAGTCTAGTGATATTCCAGCACTTGCTAAGGTCATAAATATAACTGGTCATAATTCTTATAAAGCTTGTTGGTTTTGTTTTATTCGTGAAGTATGCTATAAAGAAAACTGACATATATACTACCTACTTAAGCCTCCACATAGTGTATTGAGATGCCAATATAATCCTAAGAACCTACCATTACAAACACATAAAAATTATTTGCGAGATATTGCTACTATAGAGCATTTAAATGGATTATTACTTAAATGCGAAGTTCAGGAAAGAGGTAAAGTATAAAAAAATTTTAGACATTTCTACTGCTCTCTCTGTTATACAAATATTTTAAAGGTTCTGATATTTCTACACCTTTTTTTTATATTTTTACACCTTAACCGTACTTATATATATATATATATATTGTAATAGTATAATAGTTTTTGCAAGGATTAAGGTGTAGAAATATAAAAAAAAGGTGTGAGAAATATCGGGTTTCTATTTTAAATAAGGAATTAATTTGAGTTTATCGACTTTTTAGGTATTAATGGTCGAAGTATTTTATTTGAACTTAAGTCAATCAAATTTCAGATTCGTTCCCAGTTAACATTATGTATGGATTATTTAAAAATATTGCTTCAGCAATGCTTTGGCATTGGTCAGGTCTTTTTTTAAAGATAATCAAATTTCAGATTCTGAATATGTTATTTCTAATAATGTTTGGACAGAAATTGGAAATACAATAGAGAAATTAAAAAAAACATGCCACTAAGTTTTGGCCGTCCACCTATTAATATTCAGCAATATTCAGCAGCATTTAAGGCAGAACATTGGCTAAACTGCATAGCATTATATTCAATTCCACTCTTACAGAATAATCTTCCAGAATGGTATGCTTGTAAATAGGGTCTTTGTTTTAAAAATGACCTTATGGAACATAGTAATTATAATGTTCTATAAGGTTATTTTTACAATAATGATTCCAAATAAAAAATATAGTTTCAAAAATATATAAATATATTTTATATTTATTAGGTATTTAAATGGGTGGTCAAAATTTGTACATGCTGTAAGCTTTGTCTTAAATATAAGATTACCGTTGGCTACTGCTTAAAGTATCTCCTAAAAATAATACCCCCCATGATTAAGACCCGGGTATTACTTACCATCTATATCAATCTTGCTATGGGTAGTACCCCGGGTACTTTTCAAAGTCAAACCTCATGAAAATTGATTAGTACCCGGGTACTAAAGAGATTAATACCCGGGTACTAAAGAAATAAAATCATATAGAGATGTTTCGCACAGACAAAGCATATATTTTTATATAGACAATACTATTGAATGACACATGCTGCAGCTAATCTTTATTCACTTTTTTTAGTATTGATAGCATCCGGTGATTTTTCACAAGTCACTATTGGATAATTTTAATTCAAGTAATATAATAACGATACGTTACAAACAAAATAAGTAACATAAAATAAACTAATGATTATAAGTGCTTGATGAATAAATAAGGTTATTTTGCATAAAATTTTTATTATCTTGCTTGAGGAATGTCTATTGCGATGCATGCTAAGAACATGTGAAATATAAAAGAATTCATAATTTATTTATAAAATTCGCCTAGAAATTTTTATAAAAATAATTTTAACCCAGCCAAGTGATGAGAATCAGAAAATTAATTCGGCACAGCCTAATTGTGAAACTACATACTCGTACCCAGGTTTACGATTATTAAAGTAAAATGCTTTGATTTAACGCTTATTAGAATTAGCAAAAATAAAACCCCAACTTTGATATTTATTTATTTATTTGAATCGATCCTTCTATTGATTAGTTCAAAACATTAACATGGTTTCCTTCTTTATTTTCATAGTATTCACAAAATTCTGGATCAATTTCACTATCCTTAGTGCCTTCTGCGTCTTCTGAATTTAGGTCATTATTTTCTTACTCTTCTTCAATACCAAATTTTCTTTTTTCACATGAAACTTTCTTAAAGTCAAAAATTGAACCATCTTCAGAGCCGTCCATTTCTGTAGAGATCCCGCAGCATTTAAAAGAATGTTGTATCATTACTGAATCAACATCGTCCCATGCTTCCTTGATCCACGTTGCTACTAGAGAATAAGACAGACGTTTAATTTTACCCTTTGGTGTGTATTCTTTTATAGCTTCATCTATCCATCGATTATAAGCATGGCGAATCTATTAAAAAAAAAAATAAATAATAATAAATAATCTGTTTTTTGAAGACTTCTATTCAAATTTATACAGGCACATTGTGATGCATCATTTACAGATGTAATACAGAATCTAATCAAACTAGAAAAATGTTGGCTTATAGTTAGGGTTAAGGTAGGACAATAGCGAAAACATACCTAATTCAAAATATTTGTGAATATTGGCATTGTTCTTTAAATATTGAATTAAATAATAATCGAACAACCGCCACTGAAAGATTGTTGAAATTTTTATATTAAAAAGTGGTTTTATAAACAATCGTATTTTTTTTCAATTTTTAAATCTCTGAAATCTAACTAGCCAATTAGATGAAAGTGCATCACAATGTGCCATATTACATAAGTTTTTTCCACAATAAAATTAATTTTGGCAACATTAATACTATAAATAAAATCTTATAACTGCCTAATAAAGTAAAACCTTCATAAGTGCAATCTTTGGAACCAACCTTTAATAATGTGCATTTTGAGAATAAGAAAATGCATTTATAAAAGGTTAGATATATCTTTAGAAGAATATTTGAGTGTGCATTTGGAAACAGGTGCACTTATAGAAGGTGCACTTATGGAGGTTTCACAGTATAAATTTATGCAACCTTTAATATTATCAAATCAAATTCAATTAAAAAGCTTAAATTCACTTTATTTTCACAACATTAATACTAATCTTCGCTTTGAATGCTTTATTTAAAAATACATCTAATGGTTGCAGACGTGAGGTTAGCCCCCCGGAATAATAGCGATATTCGTATTTCTCTCACGAAAATGACGTTTTACGGAATCAGTTCTATGAGCAGTAAACGAATCAAGGACAAGAAGCGAACATGGATTCGAGCCTAGATTGGCCCGACAATGCCACACATTCTCCACCCACCAAAGCACTTCTTTTTCATCTATACAGCCACTTGGATTTGCATGAACATACACACTATTTGGAAACTTCTCTCATGGTACATTAACTAGTTTAAAGATAATAAATGGTAGAAGTTTAGTATCATCTGCAAGGCAAGCAAGGGTTACGGTAAAACAGGTATGTTCATGGCCCGTTGTAAGGATTGAAACAGTTCGTTTTCCATGTTCCTCAACAGTTGTTTAACTTGGCATATTGAATGTCATAGGTGTTTCATCCATATTTCCCATTAAGCTTAAAGGGTAATTATGCTTGTTTCAATGATAAAAAACATGTGATAAAAAATTTTGTTGTTCTTCAATATATTCTTCAGACAAATATTGTGCAACTGTAGTGCGTCTGCGGTTTACTAACAAATGACGGGACATAAATCTATCTACCCACTTATGAGAAAATTTACATGTGTGAATATCAGGGTACAAGGTTTAGTATTCTTGTTTGTGGGCCAAACTGTGAGCTTTTGCACTGATCATATATCTGGTTACTATTTTCAACTGCCTTCTTAACTCACGAAACCACTCAAAAAGTTCATCCTCAAGATTCACATATTTAGGTCGTGCCCCAGTATTAAGCTGTTGAATGTATGATGCTACACGTATTAGCTCACTTTTTTTATTCTTCCAGTCACGAACCTGTTTTGGCTCGATCTCATACTTGTCAGCTGTTGACCGAATACTGTGCCCATTTTCCTGATAAAATATAACCATTAATTTTTTACAAGCATTCCACTGCCGACATTTTTTTTGCGTATTTCTTGCTCGTTGTGCATTAAAATTTCCCTTTGGCATTTTTAAGCTGCTAGGATATAATTTACAAATGCGTTATTTGAACAAAAATCCTATGATTAAAAAGTTTCGCATTTTTTTATATTACCGCGAGGTCTATCTAGTTACATAGAATCTGCTTTAACCATTATACTAATTCAAGGAGACGAGATACTGATTGATTCTACTTCTCATTATTTATAATTTTACTGAACTAGTCTATAAACGTCCTGAATCTTAAGATAAAATGCATTGTTCGAATGTAAAGAATTCTTTTCTAAAATAATAAATTTTATGTTAATTCAGTATAGAACGTAAGCACTAAAAAAAAATATATAAATTTTTATATAACGAACTTTTCTCTTCCACCTTCCTATAGAGCCAAGTTGGTTATTACAAAATATAGGCAATTAAATCATACTTTTGTAAAGGTTTCATCAATTCTTTTCAATTTATAACTAAACTAACTTTCACGAAAATTTTAATTAAATATTATTTCTATAAAAAGCTTCTATAAATATTTTCTCTCTCTCAAAGTTAAATTTAACCTCCAAAATGCCTTCTCCTTATATAATCAAGTTGATTAAGATCCAGATAAGTTACCAGAGCATTGTTACAAGTGCGGCTAGTGTCTTTACTTTTCAGAAGTGAAATTTAAAAGATACTATATAGATTGGTTAAAGTAGTATTCTTACAAGAAGCATTTATTAATGCTTCTACTTCTACCCAAAACCAATATCGAAAACATTTAAAAAAACTATAATGTTTTTGTAAAAAAAGACCTTTGCTGTCGCTTCTCTTCTTTTAGACTAGCTAGAGTATGAAAGTGCTATTTTATAAAGTACCTCCGCTAATATTTTTTTTTTTAAAAAAAAAAGAACCAATTTTATCGTTTCAAAACTCCAAAAAAAGTTTTTTTTTTGTTTTAAAAAAACTTTCGCAAGTACTTTAATTTGTTGAGATCATTATGAGCAAATTTTAATATCAGAAGTTAAAAATTTTCTAATAAATTTATTACTGGTTAATTTTAAAGTTTGTAAGTACTTTATGATTTATTATAAGCTTTATCGACATAAATAATTTGGTTTAAATTATTCAAGTCCACAAGTGTCTCCGCAATTACATTGTTTAGTTGCGCAGTTGTCTTTTTAGTTCGATAGCAGTATTTATATATTTGGTTTGTGTAACAAATAATTACTCTTGTATAAGACCCCCCGCATACAATACCCCACTATAGTGTATCCTCCCTAAAATAGTACCCGGTTCTTCACACATTACCCACGGGTACTATTCAATTTCAAAAATAGGATTCTTGAATAAGACCTCGGGTACTGTAAGTAGTGGCCAACCGTAGTATAACAGAGTTAATGAAGATCAAAA